GTGCATTTGTTCTTGGATTGAGGAGGTAAAAGAGACATTTTGCAATATAGACCAAGACAATTTACACTTAAAATAAGAAAACACAATTGCATTGTCTTATTTTAAGTGTATATTATCTAATTATCTTATTTTAAGCATAAAACTACTCATTCCATTGGCAAACTATCTCATTTACCTACTCTAATTAAGGGTAAATACACTTAATTTAAGAAGTTTTTACTTATTTCTAGATCATTTTTCCAGTGCAGCGAACTTGCCTGCACATTAACCCCACTGATAATCTCTCAGGTACCGTGAAAAAGGAACATGAAGGACCTAAAGATGCAGCTGAGCTGAAGGCCACAGTCAGAGCAACCTGAGCAGAGTCAGACTTATTGACCGCGCTGCAATGCTGCAGATACCAGGCAAAGGGAGCCCAGACTGGATACCACATACTCATGTCTTAGTTGGTATCAAGTCATATTTTAATTTTCCGATACATTGAATTTTTATTTATTTATTTTTTTTATTCATCAGTCAAACTCATCTTTATTAAAATAAATAAATAAATACTTAAAATACCCCAATCTGTATTAAATGAAAATATATATATTTACAAGTTTCCTTTTTTTTCAGCCTGGGGATCCACAATGAGAAGATCTAAGGTGATCTAGTGGCTCAAAGATCAGAACCAGCCAAGGAAGAGGATTCTGGGTTCTTGTTTAAACACTGTGGTGATATTTTATTTGCTGAAAAACAGCTTAAATCCTCACAGTTAGCTGCTGTTTGGTCAAACATGCAGACTTCCTCGCAGCAATAAGACATTCTGCTACCATGTGGGAGCAGTAAGACTCTGAATCCATTCACAAACCTTACAGAAGGTACCATAAAAAAAAATATAAATAATAATATGCAACTTATGACAAGGACACAGATTTTCTTTTATTTGTTTTTATTAAATAGAATTTATCTTTATACTCAAATAACAGAAAGTGCAGGCATGAATCCAAACCTTAAGACCATTTACCTTTAAATCCTAACAACAGTTTACTCCAACTTAATGAGAAACACAAACATTCACAATGATGGACAGTTAAAGCTGCACTAGGCATCTTCAGCTCTGCACACGGATCTATTCAGACTATAGATCTATTCAGACTATAGATCTATTCAGACTATAGGAAGGTCGGTTTAGCCAAATCACGACTGAGGAGGGAGGGAAAAAAACAGCCGTCAGACTTTTTTTTTGGTCTTTTTTAGAGCTGCTGTTTGCAAAGTGTGAGGCGGGAGCTGAAGGGTGCAAAAACAACAGGATGCTAATTGCTGCGCGGCGGCTGCTTAGCAACACCATCAACTAGCTTCTAGGGAGGCAGTTTAGATATTTTAGAAACCCCAAAGATGGACTATCATTAACTCTGAAAACATCTTAATCAACTGGAAAACAGAGAAGTTTTCAGGCTTAGACAACTGAGTCACTTATTTGAGGAAATGCTTTAGCGGCAGGAATGTATAGGTAATTTATGACGTTTAAACCAAACCTGTAAGGAAATGAGTTTATTCTGAATTGAAATGGATTTGATTTTTTATTTTTTTAATAAGTATTAGATGGAAGATTAACCCAACAGGATTATGGAATTATTAATGGACCCTCTGGTAAAGCAGCCCTCTTCTTTAACAAAACAACAACATCTGATAGTAAACCTCTATGGTTAGAATTTACATTTTAAAGGAAAAGTCCGGTCAGCGAGGAAAAATCAATGGATCATTATTTAT